AATTTAGGGTCACGCGCGAGCCGGCGCCTATCCCAGCAAGCATCGGGTGCAAGGCAGGATACATCCTGGACAAGATGCCAGTCTATCAAAGTTCAGACACTGACACACACACACTTAGGGCCAATTAACCTGACAGCATGTTTTGGGAATGCAGGAGGAAACCACAGTACCTGGAGGAAACTCACACAAACACAGAAACTCCACACAGATAGCACAACAGGTCCAGAACTGATTCCAGAGCCCCAGCACTGTGAGGTAGCAAGGCTTACTACCGCACCACTGTGGCACCCTTAACCATTTCCAGTGCGATGTTTTATTATATACACCCCTGCTCAAAGGTCTGGAGCCTGAGGTCTAATCCCTGTCAAATTCTGGATTCGCAGTCAGGATAATAATAAAAGACACAGCCACCTTCTGCTCAACATTGAGATGAATCTTAAGAAGTTCTTATCTTTTAGGTGTAATAGTACCACCGTCTTCAAGTGGGAATGTTATCAAACAAGAATGGGTTTGTGTGCTATCAGATAAATCAATATAGGCTGCTTACAAGTGAAAACTCGCTAACTAGGAACAGATAAAGGTTTCACCATTTGAAATGTATGCATTCATAGTAAAAGTCTGTCCATATCAGTGTAGTAACGCACTGTGAATGCTGAATTGAAGTGCAACTTTCTTGTGCTGTTGAAACAAATTGCAACACACATATTTGGCAGGAAACACTTTCTGTGGTAAAATCTACAGTGAGTGTTCCACCCAAAATTTCTAAAATAGCAGTGAAATGCGTACATTTGTTGTTGCTTCTGTGGCCCTGTGAGAATAAATAACATTGAACTCTGCACATTTTGAAAATGTTTACCTGTTCAGAGACACAAACATATCTGATTTGGAAGCACCCTGTTTTGCATAAGACAACCTTCACTTAACCTTTTGCCTGCTGCAAGAAATTTCTAAGAAAAAGGAGGGCTTACCAAGCTACCATTGTGGGATAATGGACACAGTTATTGGTTCAAGGACACCATGACATCAGTCATTGCTTATTGATGCCTTTAGCATATATTACGTTAAAGGTTCCCAATTCAGGACCTGAAGGCCCCCACACTCACTGGTATTTGTTTTTGTGCTGAGCCCTCAATTACACAATTCACACCTTCATAGATTTAATAACAGCATTCATTTGGAGGGCTTGACTGTTTTCAGCTCATAGATGTGTTGGACGTTGCCTTTTAACTATTGCATTTCATAAGTACAAAGATCCACAAGACTTTTGAGCAGATAACAACTTTTGTGGAGATTCCAATCAAGCAACTTGTGAGTTAAATGAATTTGATTCACCTTGCCTGGAATGAAAACCAGTGAGTATATGGTTCTCTGGGACCAGGAGTAGGAAACTCTCTGTAATGTAGACAAAGGGACTCCAGTCTCGGTCCTGGAGAGGCCCAATCTAGCAGTGTTTGCAGATAGACTTCAAAATCAAAACCTTTTAAGGATGTGAAATTGTAAAAATTAAGCAGGAGCGAAACAAGGAGATTTGCTCAATTCAATTATACAATCTAGATATAATTTGGAATGAAATTCTGTATGCCCTTCGGTCATCAAGGGTCACAGTTCCCTTGATTTAATATATTATTTTCTTCGGTGGGGGTGGCATGGGGGCACGGTGGTAAGTATTGTTGCCTTGCAGCTCTGAGACCCTGGGCCCAGTTCCTGGGGCACTATCTGTGTGGAGTGTGTATGTTCTCCATGTGTTTCCTCTGGGTGCTCCCATTTCCTCCCACAGTGTACAAACATACTGGCAGGTTAGTTGGCTTCTGGGAAAATTGGCCCTGGTGTGAGTGTGTGTGTGCCCTGTGATGGACTGGTGTCCTGTCCAAGGTGTATCCTGCTCCGTGCCTGTTGCTTGCTCGTGACCCTATATCGGATAAAGCAGTAGAAAATGGATGGGCAGATGGATTTTCTTAATTTATCTATAACTTACAAGTGGTACCAATTGGTTCACATGCCCTATTAGGCTTCACGGATTAGCGATCACCAGATGGGAGAGCCTGACAGAAGAACGTATTACTGGAAGGCAGCGCCAGTAGTATTCTTAAAATGATTTTAAAAGTCTTTTTATTAACATAACACGCATTTTTTTTTGTTCCCCGTACTGGAAGGACAGTAGCTGTGTAAACCATTATCTAATAATTATTGGTGCTGCAGTTTAGTTAGAAATAATTCCGTACTGTAAGAGCTGTTTTTTCTCCCCCAAATGCCGATGTAATGATAGACGCTAACTTTATTATAAACTCCCTGCAACAGGCGCCATATATTTTTTTCCCTTCTGAGCAGGATAAACAATTGTCACTATATGATTATGTATTTTTTTTTTCAAAAACAACAACAACAACAACAACAAAACAAAATCACACAGACAGCGTCAGTGTTCATCAACGGCACAAACGACAAGTACGCGGCCTGAGTCAGAACTGTTGTTGACGTGCGAACTGGACGCGTGAATACCGGAGACGAGAAGTTGTCATTCCAGATTCCGGTGCCCATTCTGCTTGACCATTATACTTCTTTTCAGCAACACAAATTAGAAAACGGGGGTTCCAGACGTTAATTCCCCCGCTCAGCTCGGTGCACCCGTTAAAACTGCTGCAAAGGAACATGTAGTGAATATTCAATTTCTATCGTCAGCCCGGCACCGCGGCTTGATGACAAAGATGTGAGCTGTTTTCTTAGACACTTCGACACAAAGTGGTCTGTCCTTGTTCCTGCAGGAGGAAAAGATGAGGCGATAAAATGAAATGGTGCTCCGTGGGTGCGGACTGGAGGGAGTTCACTTTTACGCAAATTTGTGGACAAGTTGTGTATCCCCCCTGACACTGTCAACCTGCAATCCACAATTTTAACACAAACTCAACTTTCTGAGCGTGTTTACCCCCTTCTTTCAGAGTTTGTATTGGCGGGGGTTGGTGTCATTCGATGTTTGACTTGTAAGCTGCGAAGCAAATGTTTTTAAGTCTGGTTTTTAAACTTCCTCATGTAATGCGGACCGAACAGCGAAGGACTTTTATTGTCGAGGGGTTTAGGAACTGTAGCATCTGCATTTTTGGGACGATGTTAACGAGCCTAAAACGGAAGGGGGGAATTCATAAAAGTTAAAATACAGCTAGAATGTAACATCTCTTTTGGACGCGTTATCTTATTTGTCTTGCCTGTATAACTTCATAAGCTCAAATTTCATAAACAGGTTCGACCAGCGACACCGTGACAAAGAGCTTTAATAACAGCAGCACTTCAAAACAGCCTTGACCTATGCGAACACAATGCCTTGTGGGACAGGAGCCAGCCAGTAGCTGACGGCGAAAGCAGGCGAGCAAGTTGCCAGAGCCCAGGAGAGCCCCTTTGCGGTCCTCGTGTCCGTGCATCTTATTATGGTAATAATAACGCCGTTGCGTCAGCGCCCGCGGGGAGGAGGAAGGGGGTTGTCATTCGCGCGCGTGCACGCGCACGCACGTGAGCGAGTCGGGGCCCCGTGAACGCGCCTCGCCAGCCTCGCCAGTTGGAAGGTGAGCCGGAGTGTCTCGAGGAAGAGGGATCGAGAGCGCGGCCGCCGGGATCGATCGGATTAAACTTGAATCGAGTGAAATTAACACAAAGGAGAGAGAGAGAGAGAGAGTCGCAGAGCAACGGGACACGGAGACACCGAAACCAACACCAGCCTCGTCGGCTCGGACGTTTGTGCACACGCCAAAACAAGAAAAAGCATATTGGAACTGGAAATAACACACTGTGACCGGACTTCGTTTAAAGAGAAGAAGAAGAAGAAAACAAAAACCCTGCGAATTTGACCTGAACTAACAGGGTGAGTGAGTTTCCCCCCCTCGCCTCTACACGGCGGGTCGTTGTGTTGTTTTTTTTTCGTCGTTAAGAGCTTTTTTTGCTGTGCGCGAAGAGCTGAAAGGTTGAATGGGACATGGATTGAGATGACTGTTGCTATGAGCCGGGCTCGGTTCTGCAGTTGAAAAGGGCTGTTTTAGCGGGGCGAGGGGCTGATGAAAGAGCGGTGTGTGTGTGTGCGTGTGGGAAAGAGCAAAGGGTTAGTCAGGTTCGCTTTTTTTTTTGTGTGTGTGCGTTGTTGTCTCTGTTAGCGCTTAAGTACACAAAAACGGCCGAAACTGTCCCTGGGAACCCAACTTACAAACCGAGCCAAGAACAGAGGGAAAAAAAGCTTCCAAACGGCAACTTTTAGAAAGGGGATGTGGTGAGACACTTTTTTTTTTTCGTTTTCAAGAAATTGCAGTCGCTGTATTTCGATTGAACGGTGTATTTTTCTCTCTCTCTCCCCTTCTCCGCTGCTGCTGTTGTTGTTGGTTTTTTAAAGGGAGAGAAGCCGCGAAAGTGATACAATATCGCGGCTCCGGCCCCTCCGACAGCTGCTGGGGGTGGTGGTGGGGGCAGTCAGTTGTAAAAATGTTTCTTTCATGGGAGCGGAGGGTCTGGGAGAAGTTTTCCGTGGAAGCGCTCCATTCAGAAAACCCACGAGTTGAGGCAGAGAGAGCGAGTCAACTCAAGCGCAGGACATTTCAGGAAACAAAGTCGCTGCGGTCTGTCTCGGTCTCTGTCTCTGCGTGTGTTTTTTTTTTTTACGAGGGGAAAATGTGAAAAGGTAGAGGAGATTTCAGCAAGTGTGGAGCCAGGCTCACTCACACACACAAACACGAGGTGGGCTTGAGTGTGAGAGTGAGTGAGTGTGAGGGAGGGCGGGGGGGAAGAGAGGTGAGTCAGTGGCCGCCGGAGGGCAACACGCCGGGGAGATTCCCTTTCCACTTCCACTCGCGATCGGGTTCACGCCGGGGAGGGAAGAGGAGGAGGAGGAGGGGGGAGGTGGGGGAGAGAAAGAAGCAGAAGAGATAGAGAGAGAATCCACGCGCGCACAAATAAAATCACAACACGCGTTTCAGAAAGGGGGAAAAAAAACCGCTCCGTTTCACGCTCGGCAGCCATCCGGGACCTGCGTGGGGGGACATCGGGGCGGAGAAGTGCTCCCGGGCCGGGCCGCACGGATCGGGACAGAGAGAGAGAGAGGTTGTCCGAGGCCAGGCGGTCACTGGGAACCGGCCCGTCTCTTTTTACTCTCTCTCTTCTCCTTCTTCCTCTTTGGGGGACGTTAACAATAAAGTAAGGTGAAGTAACCTTCCTTATCCTCTCTTCTCACCCCCCCCTCCTCCTCCCATATCCTCGTCCCTCCACCACCACGCAAAAAAAAAAAAGAGTGGTCTCCACGCCGCGATCAGATCCCGTGGGAATCTCCTCTGGGGAAGAGGGATAAAAAAAAGAGAGAGTTTCCGCTGAAAACGTGCTCCGCCGGTGCTGAGCTGCGGCGGTCAGCAAGAGGCGGGAGGGGGGGGACTGGAGACGGGGAAGGGGAGCTGCGGCCAACGAGCAGCCATCATTAAATTACACTCATTTATCCTGATGGGATTAGAGAGGACGCGCTCAGCAAAACAAGAGCACGCACACACGCAGGGGGGAAAAAGCACGCCGCGGGTCTGGTGCGTTTTGAGCCAGGTGGACCGCTGAAACTGTAGGTAGCGAATTCCGGGCACTTTATTTCGAGTGATTCCTCTCCTTTTTTTGTTGTTTTGTGTGTGTGTGTGTGGGGGGGGGGTATTTCGTGCCGGTGTCTTTGAGGGGTCACAGGCAGGCTTTCGCAGACAGCGTGGTTCGGCGTAACTTGTTCGGAAAACAAAAGAGCCGGGTCCCGCAGCTCCGGGAGCACCGCGGGTTTCCGAGCGCTTTCTTGCTTTTGCTTTCGTACTTTTTTTTTTTAAAGCCCAGCCGCACGCCGATTCCCGTATTTTCTTCCTGTTTTTGTGTGTGTGTGTGTGCGTGCTATCTGCTAAGTTGTTATCGGAGTCTCTCCCCCCCTCTCTCTCTCTTTTTCCCCCTGCTGTTGGTTTAAATGCGACTTGAGTGACCTCTGAGGAGCGGGGGAAAAAAAATCGAAATGCGAATTTTCCGCGACCTAAAATGATAGGAAAGACCTGCTCCGGGCTGTTCGAGTTAATCGGGTTTTATCTCCCCCCACCACTCACGACTTTTCCTCGTTTTCCTTCTCCGTCCCGTCACCGAGCCCCGGGTGTGAGATGGGTTTTTTCGGTACAACTTTTATATCGGCATCGAGATGTTTGGGTTTAACGGGAGGCTTTTCTTTCTCTCGAAACGATTAGACATTTCGCGGCGCGTTTTTACATTTACGTGGGAATTCCTGCCGGCGCCGAAGCACCCCCCCCGAGTACGTGTGGCCGCACTGTTTTCGTCCCCCTCGGATACACAAAGGAAAGGCTTTCAAGTCTTAACCTAAGATGGCAGCTTTTAATTTGACTCAGGCCACTCACCGAACAAAGATGATAATGAAGAGGCTCTCGGCGAGGTGGAGCGGAGGTGTTCGTGCGGGATTTGCGCCTGTTCTCGGACGGTTCTCCATCTGAGCAGATCTGGGACGGCTGTTCCTCGGCCATCAATCCTCAGGGAAAAAAAAATAAATAAAAAAAAACTTTTTACCTCGTGTTTTGATCACAAACGGTAGCAGTGTATATTCACCCCCCCCCAAAAAAATTTACCACTAGGTTAAAAAAAAGTTTTTTCTTCTTCTTTTTCGCAGGCTACTTAAAGACTGTGAAATACGAATTCGGAGTCTTACGAACAAAAGGGTTTGGAGAGCAAAACCCCGTTTTACAGGGGGCATTGTAAGCGGTTGTTACTGTTGGTGGGGTGTCACTGGCCTGCACCCCTGAAGCACCGCTGCAGTGTTTTCTGTACGTGTGAATCCTCACTTCTGTACGTGTGGATCCTCACTTCTGTACGTGTGGATCCCCATTCGAGATTTTTGGTCAGCGGTTTGACTTGGCGTTGTCAGGCCTTGACATGTTGAGACAGACGTAACAGGGCGACCGGTTTAGGAAAACGGAGTAAAACAAAAAATAAATAAATAAAAGGCATCCGTTTCGGTGAGGCTCATGTAGGCTATTAGTTTGTGGATATTCCCCCAAAGCCTTGAATTAAGGGGAGCTTTTTGTTCAGGTAGCTTGTGGAATTGTAGTTTTTTGCTGGGAGATTTGAGACACTGGTTGATGATTTCGGAACAGACCCTCTGGGAGAAGGGTGGCTATCTGTGAGGGGGGCGATTGTTGAAATGTGTTAATCTCCCTTAAAATCACCGTTAACAGACTTTATTATTTTTATCTGAGGTGGTGGGGGGTATTTAGTAATTGGTATCATTCTTCAAGAGTGTTATGGTGATGTGGAACAGGTCTTTTCCTTCACAGTCTTTCTTGCTCACCCACACAAACTCAATTTTTGCAGTTAAACCAAACAAAAAAAATGGAGTTGGGTGGGGTGGAAATCGGAAGCTCTCAGGGGAGGTTTCTTGAAAGCAGCCCTGTTGTAGTTCCAGAAGACTTTATCCAGGTCTTTGGGGTTCTACTGCGGGCCTGGGTTATTTTGGGAGCACATGAGGCAGACTGGACACTTCTTGCTGTATGTGATTCACGGAGGAGTTACACACAATGTAGTTTACTTATTAATAACCCCCCAAATCTGAATGTGAACTTTTCTGCAGCGGCAGGTCCATATTTGGCGCCGCACCAGTGACAGGGCCCAGAATGCCGTAAGGAAAAAAAGGGAAATTGTACATTTGCTTGGACCTAAGAAGTTATTTGAGCGTTTTTTAGAAATTCATTGTGCATGTAGTAGGGAAATTGTTTTTATGTGATTTTCTATACTTTTCGGCCTGAATGTTTTAATGTTTTTAACATATACGTTTCTGATGGAACCTGGCCAGTGCCCCCTTGGTAGTTTCTTCGGCAGTCTGTAATACAAAGTACCATCAAGCTAGTCATGTTCTCTAATTCTTGATTATTTCCTGTGTTAGCTTCTGTCTTTTAAGTCACGCAACAAAAGTGCAGCTAAAACATTTCTTCAAGAGAGGAAAGGCTTTGTTCATTTTCTGGTGTAATGTGTGCTTATTAGGAAAACATTTCATGGGTAGTGGCCTGGTTTATTACGTTATTTTTCATGTTAGATACAGTATTTGCCGTTTGGCCAGCAGTTACCTCGATATAAGTACTACAGTATCCACAGCGATTCTTAACCTTAATTTTGAAGGAATTTGTGGCTTTAGTCAAAAGGCGTAATTCAGTTTAAATGCAGAAAAGATTTTGCTGTCCGGATAAGTGGATATTTCCATGCAGGCCCTGTGTTAAATACATTTAGACCATGCTTCTGTTGCTGTTGTGTCTGAAGGTCACAATTTTAAAACCTGCCCTCAGGGAGAGGCCTAAGGTTGTTCTGGAGAGAAGTGTGGTGTCTACCTAGATTTGGAGAGGAGGCATGGATGCTTGTGGAGATGGGTCTCGGAGTTGGTTCGTCTCTGCTTCAAGGTTAAGTTTCCATCTTGAATCTGACCGGGCCGGTTTCGTTCCGAAGTCTCGACGGCGTTTGGCAGCAGGTGGCTGTGAAAGATCCAAGCAGCCTAGGAAAGTTCCCGGTTTGTTCTAATGTACATGTGACAAAATCTATATGTATTTACTCATTTTATTTAAGCAAAGGGTCCTTATTATCTGGAGATACCTACCTCATTTCTCAAGTTATTCAGCCATGTGTGAGCAGGTTCATGTTAATAGAATTGAAGAAAAGCTTGTGCACCTTTTGCTGAATTTCAGCATTTCAAAAATGTTTAGTTGTGGTTTGAAAGCTGAAAAGTGAGAGCATTCACATTTGATAATGTAAAAGTTACAATCCGAATAATTGTACATTGAATTATTAAAGCCAAACATATATATTATTCCAAAACGATTCTAAAGTATTTCAATAATGACTGTAAAAAACCATGAGGATTTTGGAAGAGGCACCGGTGCTCACATAATTTGGGAGTAGATTTCTGAAGAAAATTGCTTGTACCTACCTCTGACTCAGTAATGTATTTGTTTGTTTGATGGAAACTTCTGGAAAATGCTCTAAAGCATGACCACAAATTCAGACCGTCCTATTACAAATCTGGTGTTGCCACCATTAGGACTTGGTGAAGTATTCATGTATTTTATAGCAGTTATGTCTGTAATAATTCATTCAGAAGACCATAGGAGGGATTCTGATATCTTAATATTCAAAAGTATCGATTAGAGACAAGTGAATGTTGAAATTTTAAAGTACAATTTTTTTTTTCTGTCGGCACATTAATGTGACTCCCAGTGCATGATGGTGACACTCGTGCTGTTGATGGGTGAGATTTAGTAAGTGCTTTGCTTTCCAGTATTTGCTTAAATACAGTGCCAGGATCTGGAAGTGAAAAAGAGAGAAGCTGGGCTGCAGGGCTCTCACTAGGATAGATTAGTTCATGTTCCATTTAATGTTTTGCAAGCTGTACTGCCTATTGTGGAAGTTCACGGAGTGCCAAATTCCTGCTTGTCGACAGCTACAAAATGCTTTTAAATCGTTCGTGGTAACTATTAAAATGTACCTCTCGCTGCCCTCTTTTTTTTGGCTGAGTGCGTAGCAGTTGAATGATGCGGGAGACGGATATTCCAGCTGTTGAATCGGTATCTGAGAGGGGAAACCGGCGTCCTGCTCCCAGCGCTGCACGCACTCAGCTCCGAAGCTCCAGAACTGAGAAGTGTATTCCAGCGATACGTGCGCCGTGGAACTTCGGCTCGTTGCATGAGTGCTCTTATAACTTTACATAGGGAGTAGCTCCTTTTCCAGACAGGGACTCTGGGCTGAAAATCCACACAGGTGTTCAGCAGATTGAATTTACATTTCCATGGCACTGTTGAAGGCTGTGCAGGTGTTAAGCATCACCTGCCCACAAGAGTTTCCTACTGCTCTTGAGGTTTTAATTTGGGGGTATTTAATCTTTGGGATAGGGCACAAAGCAGAGATTTTTCTTACCCTTCCACAGGTCCCTGTTTACTTTATATTTGATGCCTCTTCTCCTCAAGATGGGTTGAAAGGCTTTTGTGTTTATGAGCCTGTTTTGCATTGATCCTGAAATATTGAAATTATAGCATGTAGCACTGAATTATGAATTTGCTCAGATTGTTTCAGAACTGGTATATCCTATTAAATGTACAGGTGCATGAAACACAAGACCCGTGATGGGTGATTATGGAGCTAGAACATTAGTCACTCCACCTCGGTTCCCTTGTGTTGATTGTATAGTACACACTTTTCATACTGGAGGGTAATGTTTGCTTTGTTGAATGTTCTGGTTTACTTTTCATTGCAAGTTGAAGCTTTTTTCCCCACATAGATCCATACTCCAGCATGGTAAAGCCAGTATGGCTTTCAAAATAGCCGTTTCCCGTATACATAACAGTCTGATGTTAGGTTTGTAGAAATGGTTTTTATTTTCTGTGGGGGATGGTACCTACACACCAGAAACTGTGAACAAGAAGTGTGTTCAGGCAATTATAAAACAAACCCCCCAATAAACCCTGTTTTTTAACCTTTAACATTAATGCTTCTGTTTAAAATAAACTATTGTTTAAAATGCATGCCGACCTTGGTAACTTTAGTCTCTTAAGA